CTCAGCAGGCTTGACTTGAGTACCTCCATGTGACTGAGAACAATTGGGGTTCTCTGAGCCTGCCCACACCTGGAGTACTTTGCCTTACTTGCAGGAACTGCTAACCCTTGGTGTTGCCAGGACGGCTCACTCCAATCCGGTCAAGAGGAACTCCAAATCGTCTCTTAGGCAGCTCCACCACTTTCCTGCATGGAAAAAAAAAGCAAAGGTGGAGTGAAAGAATTGGAGAAAGACATCATAGAAATAATCAAAATGTTACTACACCTTTGATTCCTCTATTCATCCCACTAACAACTTATTGTTCAGATAGAACAGCTGTGCAGGAGCAGTCAAAGATATGAGTGTTTAAAGATAAGATACTTCATTTGTCTTACAAATAATAGGCAGGAGTTGCACCTGTTTTACAGACTGTCTGACACTGATCCACTATCCCTCTTTTTATTTGGCAACAAACAAATCATTTCACATCTTATTTTCTATTCAGAAAAGAAAGGAGATATGCTGCATATACAAAGGGGAATTTTTTCATGCATAGTATCATGTACTTCAGGTGACTCCTTAGCCTGGATCTTTGAAATCTCCAGGGCCAACTGAGGCTAAGATAAGCAAGGAGGTAGGTAGAATTGTATAGGAGCAGAAAGAATGATTCAGAGAAACCCTAGCATGATTTTCCTGTGGTGTCACCTGAAATGCACTGTTCTTAAAATTGGATAGTAGCAATCCTTTGGTGAGATTGAAAATGGGGGCGTTCGGGAATTTTTTCCTCTATACAGTACATTTCCTGATGATTTGATGAATGAGAGCATGAGGAATCTGTGAAGGAAGTTCTATGCAAGAATATTTTATTACAATTTTTTATATATATATAAAAGAAGACATTTTCTCATCTTAATTCAGAATTTTGAGCACTTCTTCCACCAGCAGAAGTTTTATTTTAAATAATTGTGGAAATGGTGAGATTTTCTGCAGCTGAGAATAATCTCAACTTTTGCCCTTGGACATATATGCCAGTGAAATGCAGGTCTAATACTTGCCAGTGAAATGCAGATAGGGAGAGTCTTCTCTCTATCTGTCCTTGTCAAGGAACATAAATAGAAACTCTGTTCTGCAATTTGGCAACTGCAAAATGACCATCGGGAGATGGTCACTTGAGGCTAGCTCAATGTGCTAGCACTGCCATGCTGGCTTTGGGGGCTCTGCACACCCCAGCCAGGACTATCATGGTCTCATCTGAGCAGCCTCCCTTCCTCCCACCTCCTGGGCATGGGCTGAAGCCCAGAGACGTTATTTCAGCATTAACAGCCAATTTCACACTTCTTTTCTAGCTGATGAGGTCAGGAAAAGGGAACTGGCAGTGTAATAATTATGTAGGAACCACCACATGGGTCATGCTGGAGTGGCTGGAGAACATCACAAATGAAGGGGAGCCATTTGTTTAGCCTTCACTGGCCGCTCCTCAAACACCTACATACCCAGCTTTGTGGCACCAAGCCATAGGGAAAGCAAGCCAAGGGCTGACCCTCAGTCTATTGCCTTTGCCCTCCAGGGGTAGGCATGAGGTGGTGGGAAGCAGGTGGGAGACTTGGGCTGCTGGTGCCTTCCTGGATTATGCAATGATGATGTGGTGTGGTGGCTTCTGCATCCTTAGTTGTAACACCCTCATGCTCTCTAGTTAAACAGAGAGGGAAATCATCAAGTCATGCCCTCGGGAAAGGCTGGGTGGGCAGAAAAGGCAGGGCAGAGGAGCTTCCCCTCTTGTGGCCATCCCAAGCCACAGCAGGACAAGCCACTACTCCCTCCCCAGCCTCCTGCTCTGGTTCTGTCTTCCAAACCAGGCTGTGCCTATTTCAGCACTTACTAGGGATCAAGTAAGTGCTATTTCCTATTTAAAGCAGCCTTTTCTAAGATTCCTGGAGTCTCTTTCTCTCCATCTGTATACAGGTCTTTTTACATCTTCTGAATACTCTTGTCTTCTTGTGTGCTTTTCCCATGCTTTCAAAGCTTTACAAATTGATGTTGATGAGCAAGATTAGAATCTGGACTCTCCTGTAACTTGTGTGTACTACAACACTCTGTTAAGTGTATTTATGTTTGATCTGCAATTTTCCAAAAGTTTCAGTTGTCTTGCCAGGCACTACACACACTATTAACTCAGAGGGCTGAATCTAACAGCTTTCACAGTCCAAAAGTCATTATCTGGTCTATAAAGGTGACTGTCTCAGCTGGTACAACAATGAGCTGTTGTCTGCTTTGTGCACAATGGTGACAGGGTTCTCAGTCCTCTGTTTTACTCCTCTGAGTACAGCAGCCTGTTCCTGTTCCACCTAAAAGTACAGCTTTTACCTTTAGGTACTGTTTCATAACACTTAGCTAATCTGTAGTCCCTGCTGCTGGTGGTATCTGACTATCAATGCAGTGATCAAAGCAGCTCAGACGGTTCTAATAATTGAATCAATCCCAAACTTGAAAGCTAATCAGCTTCCCCAGAGTGGTAACCTCAGTGCAAACCTGCAAACTGTGCTGACGATGCTGGGAAAGGAGGAATTTTGTGCAGTGTATCACTCATTTGCATGAGCTCAGACACAAGCTGTTAGAAAACTTGGACAATTTTTGATTTTCAGCACAATTCACACACACCCCCCCCCGCCTTGTACCACACATAGAATGAATCAAGATTTCACCCAAAACGCTCAAGACAAATTTGGAATACTATGTACTTTTGAAAAAAAGGCACTGCAGCTTTAAAAGTGACCTTGTATTTCTTCTCCTGGAAAGGGAAAGCATGCTAAAAAGCAAATAAAGAATGGGCTGATTTTGATCTCTTGAAGAGATATACAGAGCGGAATTGTTCTACTCAAGGTTTTAAGAATTTCATATTTTATCACTTTTGGCTGCAGTCTAAAAGTCCTAGTAGCAGACTGGGTAGATAAATGGAAAAACAACACAAAAATATTGCAAAACTGTTTGAAAAAAATTACTTGTAATGTCGACTGGCTCTTCTGAATACTTTCCACTTCCAGATTAACGCTAAGCATGTTATTAAATACTTTGTGGCACTGGGGATTCTATCCAAAAGAAGACAGTTAACAGAAGAAGGGAACAAGACAGTTAAGCTCTTTCAGATATAGTGAGCTTTGCCCTAAACTCGCTGGCTCTCCCCAGCCAGGTCAACCATCATTGCCTGGCCCTGTTATAAACATGCTTATCTTCAAACGTGTGCTGTGAAGGTGTTACTGTGCTGCTGTATTGATTACAACCTGGCTGTCATAAATTGATCCAGATCTTGAATCTCATTCTACATTCCATTTTCACAACGTGTTCTTCATCTGGCTGTTCAAGATGTGCACACCATCATACCTTCTTTTCACGCCAGCTTCAGGAACACCTAGGCCTGCCCCTTTGCTTTTGAACCTCAGAAAAATTTTGATTTAATATTTTTCTTATAATAAAAAACAAACAAACAGTTTTAAAGTGAATGTTAGTTCATGACAGTGGAAAGAAATTTACTAAAAAAATGCACATGCTTAAGTGTTCTTTGTTAGCTGTGTGGCTCTGTAGGGATAAATGAACAAATGCATGTATTATTCATCATGTATGAATTAATCCTCCAGCTCAAGGATTACACACCATGCAACTGTGATGGTTTCTGAAGAGATTTTGGTACCCTGACCAAAGGCACCTCACAACTGACCAGTAAACCTGGTGGCTAAAGCTAACCCATCTGTAACCAGGACACCCACCAACAGTCTTCTTCCAACTTCATCACTGGTAGTAGCATGTCAGAATTTACCTCTGTTTTCCTTTAGTGTCCATAGAAGTTGAAGAAATTCTGTCGATCGGGGAGCCAAATCCTGGGAAACTTCTTTTCTTCTTGGTCTCGGTCACCTCATTTTCCAGAGACACCAGCTCATCAAGAAGGAACAATTTGGCTGCCAAGCTGGTGGCTGATTTCTCTTCACTGGCAATGGGATGTACTCCCATGCCCAGAGCTGCAGACGGCTCCAAAGGCTGCAGAAGCAAGCAGGGATG